GCGTGCACAGCCAGGAGCGGCCCTACAAGTGCAGCTTCTGCCACAAGTTCTTCAAGGACCTGGCCTATCTGGCCGTGCATGAGAAGGTGCACACGGGCGAGACCCCCTACAAGTGCAGTGTCTGCGACAAGGGCTTCGCTCACCCCTCCAACCTGCTGCAGCACCAGCGCGTGCACCGCGACAGCTGAGCCCCGGCGCGGTGAGCGCAGCCACAGTGTTGCCAGGCCGCGGCGGCCATAAGCATACCGCCACCGACAGCAGATGAGCCCCAGGCTGGGGGACCCCGTACGTGTGCCTGAGGACTGGCGCAGACCCCCGAAAAGCTGCTGCGCTTCTCCTGAGCTCCAGCTCTTCGCTGAATCTAGACCTGCACCGTGCTCTCCTCCTCCCTCCGTGGGGAGTGATCCCAGCAGGACCTTCCCCAAGCCTGTGGACTGGGGTGGCTGCAAGCTCCTGGCAGGCATGCTGTGGCTCGTGGCACACTGCCGGTGGGCAGGCAGGAGCCCTCTTCTTTGCCCTCGTATGGGGAGGAGGGCTGAGACCCCCCCTTAAGTTGTCCAAAGACCTCCTCCCCAGTCATCCCAGTGAGCGTGGCTCAGCCTGGGCTGGGGGCTCCCAGGGAGTTAGGGCACGCTGTTGCCTGCAGCAGGGGACAGACCTGCCTGGTTTTTGGGAGGGAGATACGATGACGGTACGGGCAGTGGAAAGGATTACGGGGAAGAGCTAAGAGTGGGTGCCTCCCTTTCCCCCTGAAGCCTTTTGGGGTTCAAGTGTCCCGTCCATATCTCATGCTGCTGCTAATGACTTGGTGAATCACCTCCTTTTTCTCTGCCCCAGGGCGCTGGTGGGGCTGGTAGGGAGCAGAAGAAAGGGGGGGGGACACGCTGCTGCTCTCCACTTTGGGAGCCTCAGCAAGTGACGCCCCGCACTGTAAGTCCTCCAACAGCTCCTGGGACTTTCCAGGCAGGAACCTGGATGGGGTATGGGCAAGCGAGACACAACCATCCCTCTGCAGCATCCTCCTCCTCTCTTGCTTCCCGGAGCTACTCCTGCACTGCTACCGGAGCCTGGATTTGTCCCCCCTTGGCCGATGGCTGCTGGGCAGAGTGGCACACAGACCTTTGCTCACAAGGGCAAGACAGGAGCCCTGTCCTTGCCCACACTGGTGCCCTTGTGCTGTCCCTCGGACTCCTGGAGATCCCAGGTCCCACCCCGTCCCCCCTTTTCGTACAGTCCCTGTAGCGCTGGGAACAGGGGGGTGGGATGTGCGCGCTCCTCAGCGCTCTGCACACTAATTACAGAATGGTTATTTAACGATGGTTCTGTCTCATCACCTCCTCCAGCTCACAGCCATGTCGAGCTGGATCTTGACATGGGCTTTTGATGCTGGTACAGTCCTTGCTGGTCTCCTCTCCTTCCCACTAGTACCTTCTCCCAGTGTCCTTCAGTCGTGAGTGGGAGGTCACCTGGCACGTCTCTTCTGGTAAGAAGAGACCCACCAAATCCTGGGTGCAAGGCAGATCTTAGGCAGCACCGCCGAACCTGTACCCTGCAGAAACTGGGCGTGAGATCGGCCAGCAAGATGCATTTGGGATTTGGGCGGGTGGATCCCCCTGCAAAGATGGCTGGGGGCCTCCTGGTCATGTTGGTCTTCTCCCCTGCCCCATAGCTTCCTGACTTCCTCCCATTTCAGCCCTTGAGACAGCATGGGGGCAGCTCTGGCCTCTTCCAAATGCTGTTCCTGGCTGCGGGTTGTGAGGTTGTGATTTGGCTTGGGGATTGAGCCTGTCTCTGAGCATCTGTCCTCTGTAGCCCAACCAGTGGTGGACACATCTCAATAGGTTCCCATCCTGGGATCTGCTGTGTCCACTTGTCTCCAGGGAAGGGAGGTTGCACCTGCAGCCCTGGGAACAGACTGCCTGTGGTGACGGTGGTCCTTCGCCCTTTAAGGCGTAGTGAGATCCTGGAGGTGTTGTATTGGCCGTGAAGCACCTACATGATGCATGTTGTAGTGGTGGGGGCCTCTTCACCCCAACCCCAGAACAGAGGCAGTTCCCCTTAGGCCATATCCCACCCAAATTCACCCTCTCCTTTAACCTGTGGTCCTGAGCAGAGGTGGGGGATTCTTCTAAAAGAGGAAAAACTTGGGGACATGGGATTTGGAGGACACCTGATGACGCTGGTGGCAGGAGGTGGCTGCCTACGTAGTGTCATTTGCATCACTTCAGGTCTCTTCCATGTCACATTTTTGCCTCTTTGGGTGTCTCACACACCTGAAGGCACCTCCAATGGTGCATGTTGCCTGTGTAGGAGCAGCCCAATCAAGCGCTCCAAATGGTTGATGGCAATCTGGGGTTACATTCAACTGCTGAGGCCATCAGAGATGATCTGGGGTACCCAGCTGGCCTTCAGCTCCTCTTCTAGAAGAGCTTGTATCTCTTATAGTCCCTCTGTCCTATATGCTAGCCCCACTATGAGTGTCTGGGGTGATTGAGGGCATCTCAGTTGGCACTAGGTAGGTGTAGCTAGGCTGTGTGCTCTCGTGGTTGGACAAGCCCCAACCTTTGATGGGCATTCTGTCCTGTGGGATCTCCAGCCTTTGGCATCCTGGAGGCCAAAGGCAGTTTTACCTTCCTCATCTGCTGCATTTCAGATGGGGGAAGAGGACCATCTCTGGTGATTCAAGCCCCTAGGGGCCTGCTCCCAGAGATGCCCGTCTCAGAATTAAGGCTTTTCTCATGTGCTGGGATCATGTGTTGTGTGATCACCAAGCAATGGTGGTCACCAAGCAATGGATAAGGTCACCAAGCAATGACCTTATGGCCAACACCAGCTTGGTAGTTGGCAAGGAAAGAGATGGCCTCACTGCTGGAGGAAATTATTTCAGTTTTTCTGCTGCTTGGATATCCTGCAGACCCCCTGCTCCCCTCTCAGCCGTGGCCTGGGCAGGTGTGATCTCATGCTGGCACTGCCCAGCTTTTCCAATCCATCTTGAGATGTTTCCTCCAGCACCTGATGAGCTCCTGGAGCTTCCCGGGCAGAATCTAGGGGACAGATTCACCTGGGGTGAGGAGCACAGGGGCTTGCATGGAGGGCTTTCAGTTTATTTCTGGATGTGATGGACTCCAAACAGCCCTGACTCTGATTTTGCTCCTAATTTTGGGACCTTGCTCTCCAGCCCCTCTGAAGCATCACAGGAAAAAGGAGAAACATGGAGAAACCTTTGGTTCTGTGCCTTTCCCAGTTTTGGGATGTTGTTCATCTCTGGGGAAGGTGGAAAGAGGACCAGGCACAATGTACGTGTGTTTCCTTCTGGCAAGGAGGGCATCAGTTGCCTTGGGAGACACCATCTTCTGCTGTTGGGACCACTGCTTGTTGGGTCTTTTGGCCTCCTTCCCATCATCCCGGGTGCTTTGGGGGCACAGTCCTTATTTTGTGAGCCTGACAGACCCTAGGGCGAGGCTGAGAGTGGGGTCCCTCTGTATTGGGTTGCTTTTAGGGTTAGTGGAGAACCGTGAGCTACCAGGCGATAGCATGTCTTGTGCCCTCATGAACCTCAGCAGGGAAGTTCCCCACGGTTGGGTCCCCAAGGGATGGTCACAGGTTGGGGGCACGAGGCAAGGAAAATAGGGTTCTGTGACTGCCCCAAAATGCACTCAGGGAGGACGGCTGAATATTCGGGGTTGTGGGGTAAAGGGCTTTCCAGCTCTGGCACTTGGGTTGGTCAAGAAATGGGGGGACTTGCCTCCATCCAAGGTCTGGGGGAAGCCATGGCAGAGGAGCACAAAAACAGCTCATGTCCCCCCGCCCCCAGCACTCAGACCCGTCATGCCTGGAGGGTTGGGCACCCCCTTTTAATTCACTTGCACCCTTCCTTCTGCTCCTCTGCTCCTTCAGCTCAGCCTTGTGCCAGCCACCAGGTTCATCGGGCTCCTGAGCTGCAGGGGCTGCCCAGAGGGTGCCAGAGCAGGTTAAATAAACAGCAGCAGACTGGGAGATCCCCCTTGGCCAGCTGTTTTGGTGCTCCTGATGTAAGTTATTGGTACCAGCTAGTTTTGAAATGTCCTGCCCGTCAGCTCCTTTGCAGTCTTTGGAAAAACAGATTAGGGAAAAGTGGGGGGCAGCGGGAGCCTGGTGCAACCCCTGGGGCATGAGCTTGCGGGGGGCTGGCATCACGGGGCAGCGTCTTCCTTCATGAGCTGTGTCATCTCGGTGTCGGCATCCTCGGGGGATTCTGCCTTGGTGGGGAGGTAGATGGCCCCCACGGGCCGGAAGGACGTCGCTGAAGTGTTCTGGTCCCCAGGGTGCTGGCGGGCTGTGAGATGGAGGGGACACTGGGCTCTCACAGGGCTCTGCAGCCACTGAGCTGACCCCCGTCTCCGCACCCCCCTGGGTTGCGGGGTGGCTGAAGTGGGGACTGTGAGTTGGGGGCGGGGATACACAGGGATGGGACTGTCACCTCCAGCCTGGGCTGCTGCCATGCACCTCCTCTTCAGGTTGAGCCACAGCAGGACCCCGCTCAGCAGCATCACCAGGGCCAGCAGCGCTATCAGCACCGAGCAGGATGGTGTAGCACCTGGGGTTGGGGGGAGAGCAGACTTGGGATCCCATTTCCAGCCAAGACCAGTGTGCAAAAAAACCTAAGCCTGAACGTGGCCTGGCCCCCTCCCCCAGCGGCTCTGGGTGGTGGAGATGGGCTTTCCTTAATTAGGCTTTCCCTGGGTGGATGATGGGATGGAGGGGTCGGAGTGATCTTTCATGTTCCTGCTGCTCTTAAAACCTGCATCAGCTCTCCGATGCATTGTCCCCTTTGGATTTGGGGTGCTACATCTCACATAGGTCTATTTCTGACCCTCCCCCATCCTTCAAAGTTGTCCCAGCTCTACCACAACCTATCTGAGAAATGGGGACTGGTCCTGGAGGGAGCCCAGAGGATTTGGAGTGGGATAAGGAAATTTGGGGTCCAAGAAGGAAAGGGAGGGATTGAGTGTGTTTTGGGGTCAGGAAAGCATCTGCGATGCTCCTAAGGGTGATGGAAAACGAGGTGCATCTCCCAGGAAAGGCCCTCAAGAGCTTGCCGGGATGAACATGTGCCACCTTTCTCCTCGCCTTGGGACCTTTCCCCCCTACCCAGCACGGACACCATGGAGGATCCCAGTGCTCACCCTTTGGCTTTGTGCACACCACGCCAGCTGCCGAGCCCTGCCTGCACGGCCCGAGCCCTGTCTCTCTCTGCTGGCACTCCAGGAGCAATGACTCGGTCCCCCGGCAGCTCAGCCCCTCCAGCAAGGCACGGCCGTCCCCCTGCTTGAGCTGGGCTCCAACGGGTGCCGACTGGGCTGGCCCACAGCCCAGCTGCCTGCAGACCACCCCAGCTTCCAGCAAGCTCCATCTGCTGCCACACACCCCATGCCAGGTAGCGTTGTACTCCCCCCGCCCCGCGCAGGGACCGGGGCCATCCTGCACCCGCACCTGCAAGGGGTCTGTGCCTGCAAGAAGGAGCAAAGAGGTGAGATGGCCCCTCTGACACAGCAGGCAGATGAAGAGGGGCGTGCAAGGTGCACATGCGTGCAAGGATGGGCATGCGTGCCATGTGCCAGCTGTACCTGCTGCACGATTCCCCTTCCCAGCTCCCTTGCAAGGTCATTCCCATCACTGATGTCCCACCAGTGCTGCCAGCCTTCCAGTCCCACATAAAACCCTTTTTGGGGGCAACTGAGCATTCCCCCCGGGGACCACCTGAGCACACAACTCCTGCATCTTCGTTGTGGTTGCAGTTATGGAGTCCCCAGCTGCTAAGGCTGCACTGGGAGATGGTGGTCTCCATGCCGGTGCACTCCACATCATCCAGCCAGATGGGGTCCAACCCATGCCCGAAGTGAGCTTCGTCTGGGACCGACACGGCTGTCCCACAGCCCAGCTGCTGGCAGACCACCTTGGCATCCTTCAAATCCCAGCTGTCATCGCAGATGGTCCCCCACCGCTGTTCATGAAGCACCTCCACTCTCCCGGCACAGCGGTTCGGGCCGTTGGCCAAGCGGACCTGCACGTCCTCTGTGATGTTGGCATCTGCCAGGAGAAAGCTGTTTAGGAAAGGAGAACAGGGCACCCACCACATTGAAAAAAAAAAAAAAAAAAAAAAAAAAATCCCCAACCAGAAGCCAGAGTGCAAATACAAAGTCGTTTTGGTCCCCCTCCAGCAAGGGATGCAACCCCCCCAATCCTTCCAGAGGAGCGTGGCCATAGGGATGGGCTTCAGTTGCACCTTCATACTCTAAGATGGTGGTGTCTCCTCCATGCAAGCATGTGGACCAGGCAATGGAGACCAAGCTGGGGATTTGGGGCCGGGTAGTCCCCTCAAGACAGGGCTTGGCTCGCCACGAGGAGGGAGGATGGAGGTTTCAATGAGATTTTGGTTATGAATGGGGTGGGAACCCGTTGCTAGTTGGGGAGAAGCCTGGCCAAAAAGAGGTTACAACCCTTTGCCAGCCCCCTTCCCCAAAAAGTATGCCTTTCCAGAGCTAGCATCACCCCGGAGGCAGCCAGATGCAGGATAGACCCTCCCATCCCCCCACCGCATGCCCTGTATCACAGGACTGGGATGTACCTGAGCACACCACGCCAGCATCTTCTCCATGGTGGCAGTTACTCTGTCCCCAGGGATGGGCTTGGCACTGGGCGAGGTTGTCCTCGCTCCCCGTGCAGCTCATGTCATCCAGCCAGATGTGCCCCGTCCCCTGCCCGAAGTAAGCCCGGCTGTGGGCTGCCTCAGCTCTGCCGCAGCCCAGCTGCCTGCACACCACCGCCGCGTCATTCAGGTCCCAGCTGTCATCGCAGATCGTCCCCCACTGCCCGGTGTGGAGCACCTCCACCCTCCCGGCGCAGCGGTTCGGTCCTTCTACAAGGCGGACCTCTGCCACCTCTGCCCTGGCCAGGTCTGCAGGCAGAGAAGCAGGCGATGCAGCGTTGAGGACAAGAGGACCACGTGTCCAGGGCAGACTTTCTGGTGGCAGCGGCCAGGGTGCAAACCTAGGGCAGCTTCCCACCCATGGTGAGATGGGAGAACAGATCCTGGTCTGAGCCCTGCCTGCAGAGATGTGCAGGCAGGCATGGCCCTTGGGGCTTCATAAGCACCACCGGGCACCTACATCTGGCCTCCTGACTCGGTCCCTGATGGGGAAGGGGAGAAATAAATCCCCTTTCTTGGAGCCTCGCTGGGACCCAGCAGAGTCTCAGTGCAGCCCGCATCCCAAACTGGGCATCAATGTCCTTTTTCCCCCCTTTCCCTGCTCAGTTATGCCAAGGGTGGTTGGATCAGGGCAGCTCCACGGGCTACTGTGGTGTGGGGATGGGGGCCAACACCATCTGCCAAGGGGATGAGCCCCATGCCCTTGAAATCTTCCTGCAGCCAATGCTCCTGAGGTCAGGTTGGAGAGGAAAAGGCACTTTTTTGCGGGGGGGGGATGACAGCTCCAAGCTGTCCTTTTAGGACACCGCAGGAATGAGCATCACCTGAGCAGACCACACCGGCATCCTCTTCGTGGGTGCAGCTGTTGATTCCCCAGGGCCTGGCCCGACACTGCACGAGGGCTTTCTCCCCCCCGACGCAGGTGACCCTGTCCAGCCAGATGGGATCCAGCCCCCTCCCGAAGGAAGCCCCTGCCGGGGCCGCGAGAGCCACCCCGCAGCCCAGCTGCCAGCAGACCACTGCTGCGTCGCTCAGATCCCAGCCGTTGTCACAGACCGTCCCCCATTGCTGGTTGTGAAAGATCTCCACCCTCCCGGCACAGCGATGCGGGCCGTCCACAAGCCGGACAGTCGATGTGTTGGTTGCACCAGCGTCTGGAAGCACCATAGAAATGTCACAGTGGGCTGGGGACACACATGGTGCCAGCAGCAATGACCGGGGCTGGGGCGAAAGGACTCCCCACCCCAGGAAGGGCTTGACCATCCCACTGCAGCATCACCCCAGAGGCAGTGAGATGCAGGATGGACCCCCCCGGCCCCCCAGGACACCCCATGTTGCAGGACCAGCATGTACCTGAGCACACCACACTGGCATCTTCTCCATGGTTGCAGTTACTCTGCCCCCAGGGATGGGCTCGGCACTGGGCAAGGGCGTCCTCGCTCCCAGCACAGGCCACGTCATCCAGCCAGATGCGCCCCATCCCCCGCCCAAACCAAGCCCGGCTGTGGGCTGCCTCAGCTCTGCCCTGCCTGCATCCCTGGACCACCCTCCACCTGCAGCATCCCACGTGCTTCCAGCAGGGCAGGGCCAGCGTTCAGGCACTAGTAGCACTGAGTACAAAAGGGGTTGATGTGGCCGGACGCTGCCATTTTACGAGGGGGACAAAACCCTGGGCGTGATGCCTGGCTGCAGGGTTTGGGTGGAAGGGACCTTTAAAGACCAGCTAGTCCGATCCTTCAGCCATGGGCAGGGACATCTTCCACTAGATCAGGTTCTCAAAGCCCCATTCAACCTGACCTTGAACACTTCCAGTGATGGGGCATCCACAACTTCACTGGGCAACCTGCTCCAGTGTCTCACCACCCTCATCATAAAAATTTCTTCTTTACGTCCAATCTAAATTTACACTCAGTTTAAAACCATTGCCCCTTGTCCTGTCACTACAGGCCTTGGTAAAAAGTCTCTCTCTGTCTTTCTTAATAAGCCCCCTTTATATATTGAATGGCTGCAATAAGGGCTCCCTGGAGCCTTCTCTTCTCCAGGCTGAACAACCCCAACTCTCTCAGCCTTTCTTCATAGGAGAGGTGTTCCATCCTCTGACCGTTTCTGTGGCCTCCTCTGGACCTGCT